ACAGCGGAATGAACTGCCAACCTATCCAGCATATGTTTTACACAACGGATGCTCTTCCAGTTGCAATCCAGTACTGGGAAACACCCACACACACATTCACACACATACACCATGGCTTATTTTGTTCATTCAATCCACCTGTACCTCATGTCTTTGGACTGTGGTTGAAACCGGGGCACCTGGAGGAAGCTCGCGCGAACAGAGAACATGCAATCTCCAAACGCCAACTGAGACGGGACTCAAACCAGCGACTTTCGTGCAGTAAGGCTACAGTTCTAATCACCGAGCCACCATGTTGCAAAGTTACAATCAAATATAAGTAACTATATAAATAATTAACCTGCAATTATATTGCTTATAGGGGATTTCTATGCCAAGTACACTGAAAAAAATGATTCATTGGATTTACTTAATTTTTTTAAGGCAAGCTGTTGCAAATAATTGAATTGGGTTAAATTTAAGCAAACAGTTTTAGTTGAATTTACTCAATTTATGTGTGTTGGATTTACACAATCAAATTAAGTTGGATTTACTCAATTTATATGTGTTGGATTTAAACAGTCAAATTAAGTTGGATTTACTCAATTTATTTGCGTTGAGTTGAAACAATCAAATTAAGTTGGATTTACTCAATTTTATTTAGTTACCTTTATCCAATGAAATTTAATTAGTTCACTACATTCAACTGCTTGCAAATACACTTTAAAATGACACGTGACCAAGTTTGTTTTGAATTCATTTTAATGACGTATTAAGATGCAATTTTTAACAAAACATAAATCACTGCCTATAATTGATTTAGCAGCACACCATAAAACAATAAATAAGTTTGTACGGCACATTCAATTTAAACCAACACATAAAAGAAAACGGTAAGAAGTCATAGAATGACTTGGAGCAAACTGCAATTCTTATGACACACACACACACTTACAATACACAAAATAATCAACTGATTAACTTAAAACATTAACTTATTAACAGATTGAGCAACTACAAGTTGTATAGAATAGAATAAACACAGTTTATGGAATGCACACACACACACACACACACACACACCCACACACTAACAATACACAAAATAATCAACTGATTAACTTAAAAACATTAACTTATTAACAGATTGAGCAACTACAAGTTGTATAGAATAGAATAAACACTGTTTATGGAATGCACACACACACACACACACACACACACACCCACACACACACACTAACAATACACAAAATAATCAACTGATTAACTTAAAAAATTAACTTATTAACAGATTGAGCAACTACAAGTTGTATAGAATAGAATAAACACAGTTTATGGAATGCACACACACACACACACACACACACACACACACACACCCACACACACACACTAACAATACACAAAATAATCAACTGATTAACTTAAAACATTAACTTATTAACAGATTGAGCAACTACAAGTTGTATAGAATAGAATAAACACAGTTTATGGAATGCACACACACACACACCCACACACTAACAATACACAAAATAATCAACTGATTAACTTAAAAACATTAACTTATTATCAGATTGAGCAACTACAAGTTGTATGGAATAAAATAAATACAAAGTTTATGAATTGCGCACACGCACACACACAATTTGTAAAAAGTTTTAACTAAATTCAAGTCTTAAATACAGTTTAAGTACAGGCAACATTAAAAAACAAGTTCCTACAGCTAATTCATTTTGCACACAAAGAAAACTGAATTTACTTATTAAACAATTCCTACACTAAACTGCAATTTGTATGTGAAATATATACATATGGTTGTTGAGCATTTATCAACACTTCATTGCTTCAAATTACAGTATCACACTGTTTTTCAGTATCAGAACCTTTGAGGAGAGCTTGTCAGAGTTCATTTGCATGAGTACTTTTTGGGCAAACTCGTAATAGTATTTCAGCTCTTTTGGGTAGGCCAAATTAAGCACATAAATTGCCCCCAACATCAGTGCACAGGCTTGTGCAACAGATTTTATCTGTTCAAGAATCACTGCTCCATCAACAACGATGCCAATGTCCTCATAATCTCCAAAATCTCCGCCTTCCTTTTTAATGACACATATGGCCATGGTGATGTTTGTCAGGTCCTTCAAAAATTCTTCTCTTTGGTTGCCCTATATTTAAATAAAAAGAAATAATTATTAGACATTGTTTTTGAAAAAAAATTGTGAAAAGTCAGTAGAAATCAAATGTAAATAAAACCAAAACATTAACTGCCCTCCCCACAACCACATTTATACCTCTGGAATATTATAACAATCATTTATGATTGCATATTGATTGCAAACCTCACAATGGGCAAACATATATTTGTGCATGACCTGCAATTACGACTTCTTCACAATTATTTACAGGGTTATATACAGAAATATGTTGAAAACTGCATATAATGTCAAGGAAGCATTATTGCATTATTAATTAAATAATATTACACAAGGTATAAAGCTTGAAAACCACTGATTTTTCCACTTGAATGTGGAAATAAAGTCATAATTGTTTACCTTAAGCCTCCTGTATTGTTAAAATTTACTACCCTTTCCTTATGTTAGTTGCCGTTTTTTTTGCCCCTTTGACTTCCATTATAACAACATTTTTGGATGCAAATCCATGACAGCATGTAATCATGCATTGTTGCTGGTTTTCTTCCCTGTTCGGTAGATGTATATTTTGTAATTTTTACTGTTGATGATCAGTTGGCAGCATAAACCCTTTAGATAGGCCTGTGCAATAAAGTTTCTGGCTTTTATATGGAGTTCTTTGGAGTATAACAGTAAATGATAGTGTGTGTGCATTAATACACTTACTTTGTTTATTATATGTCTGAGAAAATTTAAATAAGCAACTCTCAAAACAATGTGTGCAAAAGTCTCTCTCTTTCACACACACACACACACACACACACACACACACACACACACACACACACACACACACACACACACACACAATACTCTGTATAACTCTATACAAAAAGCACAAACATTTTGCAAAAGCTTTGCTCTGCAACTGATGATCAACTATTAAAATGACTAATTTTACTTCTTCCTAACAAGGAAAATCATTAAAGATAAAAAATATTTAATATGCTGTCATGACCTTGCAATTAAAGAACATTAAATTGGACAAATTTATAGACATGTATATTTATTTACATAGTGTTTTGAAATGTTTTTAAAAATTTTAAATTAAAGAAAAATAATATAAATATATTAAGTACAGTTTAAGTCAGAATTATTAGCCCCCTTGAATTATTAGACCGCTTGTTTATTTTTTTTCCCAATTTGTGTTTAACGAAGAAGATTTTTTCAGCACATTTCTAAACATAATAGTTTTACTAACTAATTTTTAATAATGAATTCATTTTATCTTTGTCATGATGACAGTAAATAATATTAGACTAGATATTCTTCAAGACACTTCTATACAGCTTAAAGCTTTTTTTTTAATTAAAAACTTTATTCTAGCCGAAATAAAAACAAATAAGACTTTCTCCAGACAAAAACAGACATACTGTAAAAATTTTCTTGGTCTGTTAAATATAATTTGGGAAATATTTAAAAAAGAAAAAAAA